TCTCTATTCACCTGGAGCAACAGAGGAAGGAGAGTCAGGAACAGAAGGAGGATATGGAATGTGTGGCTAACAGCCTCCATGAACAACTGCCTCCTTTGCCATGAGACCAGAAGAACTGGACGGTGCCTGGCTACCATTACTGAACATTTTGATCAAAGATTCCATAAAAATTCCTGATCAAAAGGGGGAAGATACAGAATAAAATTTCAAATTCTCATGGATTATGGAGGGTGAACTTCCTGGAGCTATGGAGGGTGGCTGAACCTCTGAAATTATCACCCTGAGATAATCTTTAAGCTTAAACTAAAAATATCCTGAGATCTTCTTAAAACCAAACAATAGCTTAGCTTAACTAGTAAAGAATGTCTGCCTTGAGTATTGTGCTCTTTTAAGAACTATCTATCTACATGAGATCAAACTGACAACAGCAACTCGAAAGATCAGATAGGAACCTCAGGGAGCAGTGACTTTATGTTAATGGGGGAGGAGCAACTTGAAAAAGGAGGGTGAGAATGGTTGCACAACTCAAAGAATATAATCAGTGTCACTAAATTGTACATATAGAAACTGTTAACTGGTGTATGTTCTGCAGTTATATTCTCAACAACAACAAAATAAATAAAATTATTTAAAAAGAAAGAATACTATGAACAACGTATGCCAATAAATTGGATAACTAAGACAAAATAGACAAATTCCTGGAAAGACACCAAAACCAAACCCACTGCCATGGAGTCAATTCTGACACACAGCGATCCCACAGGGTTTCCAAGGCTGTGATTCTCTATGGAAGCAAACTACCACATCTTTCTCCCTCGGAGAACCAACCAACTTTCGGCTAGTGATCAGGAACACTGGTGGTGCAGGGGTTAAGAGCTTGGCTGCTAACCAAAAGGTCAGCAGTTCGCATCCACCAGTCGCTCCTTGGAAACCCTATGGGGCAGTTCTACTCTGTCCTATAGGGTCACTATGAGTTGGAATTGACTCAACAGCAACAGGTTTAGAAAGACAGAAAGTACATTAAATGACTCAAAAAAAAAACCCACAATCTGAATAGACCTACAACAAGTGAAGAGACTGAATTCAAAAAACCACCCACATAGAAAAGTCAAGGTGCAGACAGCTTCACTGGTGAATTCTACCAAATATTTAAAGAATACCAATCATTTACTTACTTCCAAGAAGTAAGTGTTATGAACTGAATTGTGTCCCTCAAAAAAGATACGCAGTCCTTACCCCTGTACTGGTGAATGTGACCCTGCTAGAAAATATGGTTTTTCATTTGGTTTGATAATGAGGTCATACTGGAGTAGGGTGGGTCATAAACCTAATTCCTTTTGAGTGGTGTCTTATAAAACAAAGTACAGACACAGACACACACACAGGGGGCAGAGATCAGGTGAGGAACCATCTGCAAGCCAAGGAATGCCAAAGAAAACCAGGGAATGCCAAGGAAAACCCAGGGCTACTCGACCCAATGCCCTGATTTGCACTTCTAGCTTCCAAAACTGTAAGACAATAAATTTCTGTTCTTCAAGCCACCTACTTTGTAGTATTTTGTTATGGCAGCCCTATGGACTAAGATAAAAAACAATTCCCAAGTCATTTCATGAGGCCACTATTCCTGACTGGAGTTGCTGGGCAGTGCAAGTTAATGAGCTCTGCCACTAACCAAATGGTTGGGGGTTTGAGTCCACCCAGAGGTGTCTTGAAAGAAAGGCCTAGCAATCTACTCCCAAAAATTCAGCCATTGAAAACTCTACGGAGTATGGTTCTACTCTGACATACATGGGGTCGCTGTGAGTTGGAACTGACTAAACAGCAACTGGTTTGGTTATTACTCTGATACCAAAACCAGACAAAGACATCACATGAGAAGAAAATTACAGACTAATATCCCTTACAAATAAAGATACAAAAAGTCCTCAACAAAATACTACCAACTGAAATCCAGAAAAGGATCATACACCCTGACCAAGTGGATTTATTCAGGAGTGGGTAGCAGTTTCACTACTGACAATTTTTGAAATACATGAGAAAAATTCCTATGGTACTTAAATTGTTCCAGGGCATAGAAAAAGATTTTTAATCTTCCCAGTTCATTTATGAAAATGTCATAATATCGATGCCAAATTTGACAGGTTTAAAAAAAAAAAAAAGTTTAAAACCAATATTATTTATAAATAAAATCCAGCCATCCCTTAAGAGAAAAACATACTATGACTAAATAGTTTTTATCCTAGGAACACAAGAAAGGACAAACATTAAGACTACATAGCATATTAAAGCTCAAAAAAGATTAAGAATTAGGCAGTGTAAATTTGGAGATGGGAAGCAGGAGTGTGAAGGAGTTCAGGTTTGTGTTCTCTCCTTCCTCTGTGAAATCTGAGAAATGCTAACCTGCTGATGAAGGGATATAGGACACTGGGTGAGGGCCAAAGGATAGGGGTAAAGAATGGGAGAAAAAGCTAACCGAAGAAATGCAAAGAAGATTTCCAAGCACTGTTGATGACATAGTTAAACGCTGAAGACTAAGAATTTCTAGTGATACCAACCCACAGGACTAAGTCAATCTTCCCCAGAACAGCCAAGAAATTTAGGTTTAAGAATTACAAGGAAAGGTGCTTGAAACCATCCGCACTGAACTGCTCAAGAACGAAACAGCAAAGGTGCTGAATCACTCTCTTCTCTGAACTCTGATAAAGAACTGGATTTAACACTGTTAATTGGTCACATTTTGCTTTGACTTTAAACCATTCCATGGCTTAGCTCACTCACACCGACAGGATTACAAATTTAGTCACTGTCTTATACATCACCACTGTTGTTGTTAGGTGCCACAGGGATAATTTTCCACTTACAGCAACCCCAATGTGACAGAGTACAACTGCCCCATACGGTCGTCTAAACTATAATCTTTACAGGAGCGGTTGGCCAGGTCTTTCTCCTTCGAAGCAGCTGTGTGGGTCTGAACCATCAACCTTTCGGTTAGCAGCCAAGCACTTAACCACTGCACCACCAGGGCTCCTACATCATCACTAGAACACTCTCATTAGCAAGTGAGAGATATATAAGACAGTGAATCAAATATAACATTTTTGCCATTTAACTTCAGAGCAGACTGAATGAAATGTTTCCATTTGGTCTCATCCTTTGAATACTTAACACTGCATCAAATGCTACAAAAAAAAAATTTTCAAAAAAATTCAGTTTATAAATTCTAGCAAGAAACAGATTAAACATTTTCTCCTTTAAGCACTTTCTAACATATGCCAACATGCCACTAAACTGATCTTTCCGAAACTCAAATCTCATCACAGGGTTATCATTTAAAACATTTTCACTGACTTTCGAAAGCTCCCAAGATAAAGCCTCTGAATTCTTGGTATGGCAGACAAAGCCTGCAGTCTGTGCTCCAAACACATTGGCCTTTGGTTCCTTGAAAATGTCATGCTCTCTAACCAGCAGTACCTTTCCATATGCTTTTCCCTCAGCTGCTATGCTCTTTCCCTCCCCTTTGCCTTGATTGCCTGACTCTGTCTTCAGATATCAGATCAATCACAATTTCCTCAGGGAAGCTTTCCCTAGCTTCATTGACAAAGTCAGATTCCCTTACTATATGCTTTCACAACAATGATGGCACGTATCAGTTTTACCTGGATTTATGTAACCATCTGCGTTGCCTGCCTCCCTCTCTAGACTATAAACACTATGAAGGCAGGGACCAAAAATGTTTGGGTTAACCAAGGTCTCATCAGCATTCAGCACAATATGTGGCGCATAATTAATGCTCAATAAATCAACTACCACTGGAATATTTACCAGACAAACAACTATAGCTCTTTGGTGATCAATAGTCTATAAGAATCACTGCCCAACTGAACTTTCTGTGATGACGGAACTTTCTACATCTGCATTGCCCAATATGGTAGCCACTAGCCAAGTGTGGCTACTGAGCACTTGAAAGTGGTTAAACATGGAGGTACTGAATTTTTTATTTTAATTAATTAAAATTTAAACTTAAAGAGCTACAAATGGCTAGTGGCGACTGTACTGAACAGCTCAGGTCTATAATCTTTTCCCTGTCTTTTCAATTGTTTCACTATTTACATCCTGTCTCAAGGAGCAGTCCTAGGTAAGAAACCTTAGGCTTCTTTTTGTTTCCACAAATGTACCTTGCAGGGTAGAAAACTTAACGTCTGATGATTTGGCATCCGAATTACATAGCAAGCTTTTTTGTTTTTTTCTTTCCTCCTTGGAAAGCAATAAATTAAATGCAGAGCTATTTCCAAAATGATGTTCAGAGACTAACCATAAAAATCACCTCTTTCTCCATTTGTATATTACTTGTGTTTTCTAGTTTTCCTGAGTGTTTGAAGGTGAATCGTAAACCTCATGCATTCTAAGTCCCTCCTACCGGCTGGGGACTCCTTTATTGCTACTAATGAGGATACAGAGCAGCACAATCGGTGGGGAGCCTCTTGAGACTAACTGATCATGCAGTACGTAATCCCCACTACTCCCTCGGGATGAGTCCTGCGTTTCAAACTAACCTCTTAATTGTCTCCCCAACAAGATATTCCCTGGGCAACCACTCTCTCCACTCCCACATAGCGCTTTTTCCCTCCCGCAGTGCACGACAAGCCCCACCTCCTCCCAAAAGCGTTTCTTAACTACACACACAGAGTATATAGGTTCCTCTGAACAGCTGGTGCTGTCCAAAAGGCCCAGGACCCACCGAGGGGGCGGAAACATGGCCTCGCCCGAAGGCGAGCGCAGGAGGTGAGACTGCCCCTAGAAGTCTTTAAATTTTTTAAAGCACGCCTACTGTTTGTCAGGCACTGTGACAGGCAGCGAGCCGGACCTTCTCGTCTCGAGCCACCTACCCCGCCTCCCGGGGGCGCAGGAGGTAGCGGTCCCAACAGAGGGCGGGCTGCGCGCTCGGGCGACCTCCACCCCGGCCCCGACGGCGACCCCTCTCGTCTTACGGCCCCGCTCACCTTCTCCGCGCAGGCCCTCTCGCCCTCCGGGTAGCGGCGCCACGGGGGCGAGGCTCGGGCGGGGGGCGCCTGCAGCCAGGCTTTGGCCTCCTCGTCCTCGTCCTCCTCTCCGTCCGTGCTCTCCTGACGCTGGAACTCGTAATTAAAGTCAGGGTCCAACTCCGGCTCTTCCTCACCCTCCACCTCCTCTACCATCACGACCTCGTCCTCCGGCTCCTCCTTCTCCTTCTCCTCCTCTTCCTCCTCCTCCTCCTCCTCCTCCTCCTCCTCCAGCTCACCCGGCCACGGCAAGTCCTCGGGCTCCATATTGGTGTCTCGCTCTAGGCAGCTTGAGGAGGAGGAGGAGAAGGGCGGGGGGAAAGGAGGGAGGGGAAGAGCGCCTACTGGCGGTTGTGGTCGCGCGCAGGCGCAATGGCCGCCGCCGCCTCGCGCCCCGCCCCGCGCCGCCCGGACAGGGCGGGGCGGGGAGTGAGCGCGCGCGTTGCTAAGGACGCCCCGCGAAGGCGAGCTGGAGGGCCCCGGGTAGGGGGTTTGCGATTGGCTACGCCACCGCCTCGCCACCGTCACCAGCTGGAACCTTGTTCACAGTACTGTAAGCTCACAATAAACCCAGACCGGGCTCCTCCCGGGGTGAGGAGGGCCCAGAAGAGGAGAATCTGCTCCTTGCCTGGGCTGGCCAGAACTTGATTTTGCCCCTGCACCGAGGGGAGATAAGCTCCTAAAACGAACCCATGATAATCAAACTTGCAAATTATACATTTTTAAACGTTAAGTGCCTACTGTGTGACAGACTGAATGGTGGGCGCTTGAACCTAACAGTGGGTAAGTTCAGAGGGGTTAAGAACTGGGCGCTGGCATCAGAAAGATACGAGTTTGAATCCTATCATCGCCACTTAGCGGTGTGACTGTGAGCCTCTATAAAATGACAATAATAGGCCTATCGCATAGGATAAAAAAAAAAAACCAAACTAGTTGCCAACGAGTCAATTCCAACTGATAGCGACTTTATAGGACAGAGTAGAACTGCGCCATTGGGTTTCCAAGGTGCAGCTGGTGGATTCGAACTGCCTACCTTTTGGTTAGCGGCTGTAGCTCTTAACCACTGCATCACCAGGGCTCCATTGCATAGGATGGTTGTGATCACTAAAGGAGATAATCAATGTGAATGATTTACTAGTAGATATTATTGATTATTATACAGTAACTCATAGTTCTGTGACACAAGTATTGTTAGTTTCATGTTGAAAGAATCTGAGGCTCAGAAAATAATTTGCCCAAAGTCTCTTACCTAACAAGTGGCGAGTCAATATGCAATCCCAGGTTTTCTATCAATCCACTAAAATTGCCCCCACACGGACCTACCAGCTGACAAAGGATAAAAGAGCAAATATTTATAACGATACCATATACTGGAGCCCTGGTGTTGCAGTAGTTAAGAGCTATGGCTGCTAGCCGAAAGGTCGGCAGTTTAAATCCACCAGCCGCTCTTGGAAACCCTATTGGGGCAGTTCTACCTTGTCCTATAGAGTCACTATGAGTTGGAATCGACTCGATGGCAACAGGTTTGTTTTTTTATACCATATACTATACCAGTTACCCTCAACTCATGGTGACCCCAGGTGTGTCAGAGTAGATAGAACTGTGTTCTGTGGAGTTTTCATGGCTGTGACCTTTGGGAAGCAGATCACTAGGCCTTTCCTCCAGGGTCCCTCTGGGTGGATTCAAACTGCCAACCTTTCAGGTAGTAGCCCAGCACTTAACCTCCTGCACAACCCAGGGACACCTAAAGGAGATAGGTAATCAATTTGAGGGATTTACTAGTAAATTTAATAACAGAGGTAAATTAACAATGATATTGAACCAACAGTGGTGGGATAATTTTAGGGGTACGTATCACCAAAGATGGAGTTTCTGGGTGGTACAAACAGTTAACAAGCTTGACTGCCAAATGAAAGACTGGAAATTCATATCTACTCCGAGGTGCATCAGAAGAAAGACCCGAAGAGCTACTTCCAAAAATCAGCCATTGAAAATGCCATGGAACACAGTTCTACTCTGACACATATGGGGTTACCATGAGTCAGAATCGACACAAGGGCAACTGATTTTGTTTGTTTGTTTGTTTGCCAAGAATGCATGTCCTACCTGCCAGGGACACAATCCTGGCAACTGTAAAGTTAGGACATGGACTGAAGCCCAAAGCCTCAGTGCTCCTTTGAACACCTCTAAAATGGGCTGAGTACATTCAGGTTATTGTTGTTTAAGCTAAAAGAAAAAGCCACCTGGCTCTTTAAAACACACCCAGCTGGATTCTAGGGCATGCTTTCATTGTCTAGGTTTTATAATCTGGACCCCTGCCTTTGAGACATATTACAAAGGTGAATAATTTTGTTACTGATAATCGCTTTTTTGCAGTTAGCCAATGTATCCTGTCCAGAGTCCTAAATGTTACTGCACAGCCATTTTCATGTTACATGATTCAACATCCCATGCTATGACGGAGGAAGAAGGGGAGATTAACCCTAGTCCAACTACAGACTACATCCTCTGGATCAACATAATCTCAACAGTAGTGAAATCTGAGTATTACTGATTAATGTCCTGGGGCCTGACTTTGTCTACCCTTGACCAAAAGAGAAGGACTGAGAAACTCAACCTCTGGCATCTGGGAACTGACCTGACATTAATAACTAAGCCTCAGTGTTGTCAGGGGTTGGCCTGACATTCACAGCTGTGAATGGTGTTCTTCCAACTAGACAAAAAACAAAACCACTTCCTAATCTTGACTAAGTGCAGAAAAAAACAAGGTTACTGTATAAACCACAAACATATCAAACACCCCCCTCTTCCAGCTAATTTGAGCAACTGTTCCTTTTTTCCAGTTATAGAGTTAGCTTCACTCTATTCTTCCCTCCTTCTAGATAACATTCATGTAGATATTCGATTATAAAATTACTCCCTTTTCCTGACAGCATCTAAATTCAGAGAAAGGCCCTGCTTCCTTGAATCTTCCTCAAAATCAGCTAACAAAAGCCCAAATCCTGTAAGTCCTAACATCCTCTTACTGAGATATCCCATAATTTCCCATGGTGTGTGTTCTCCCTTGTTGCAATGAATAATAAACCCAACTTTGTTTAACTATAGGTGTGTCCCTGCTGATCTTGAGCAGGAGAGTACTGACACATTAAACTAAAGGAAGTAACTCCTATATAAGTTCCATGCCAATTTTAAACTTACTATGAGTGGGATGCATTCCAGTTACCAGAGTTCTGGTTTCTAAAGCACAGTACCTCCCTATCAAAGGTTTTTTGAGTATTTTCTAGGTACCAAGCACTGTGCTAGGAAGTAGGAATGCAGCCTCCTGGCACCAACCTCTCTGTGCCCAAACAAGGGCACTTGTTGATGTTTCCTTCTAGTAGTAGCAGTAGTAGGTGTTAAAGATGGTGCTGCTGCAAGGAGACAGGACAGGTGCTGAGGGTTCTCTTTCCCTAAGAGCACAGAGCAAGCTGGCCACCCACTGTGTTGTCGTTAGGTGCCATCAAGTCGGTTCAGACTCATAGCAGCTTTATGTTCAACAGAACAAAACACTGCCCGGTCCTGCACCATCCTCACAATCATTGTTATGCTTGAACCCATTGTTGCAGCCACTGTGTCAATCCGTCTCGTGGAGGGTCTTCCTCTTTTTCGCTGACCCTACTTTACCAAGTATGATGTCCATCTCCAGGAGCTTGTCCCTCCTAATAACATGTCCGAAGTATGTGAGATGAAGTCTCGCCATCCTTGCTTCTAAGGAGCATTCTGGTTGTACTTGTTCCAAGACAGAATTATTTGTTCTTCTGGCAGTCCATGGTATATTCAACATTCTTCACCAACACCATAATTCAAAGGCATCAATTCTTCTCCTGTCTTCCTTATTCATTGTCCAGCTTTCACATACATATGAGGTGATTGAAAACACCACGGCTTGGGTCAGGCATACCTTAGTTCTTAAAGTGACATCTTTGCTTTTTTTTTTTTTTTTTTTAACACTTTGAAGAGGTCTTTTGCAGCAGATTTGCCACCCACTGTAGTAGGATTGGAGCCCTGGTGGTGAGGTGGTTAAAGAGCTTGGCTGCTAAAATCCACCGGCTGCTCCTTAGAAACCCTATGGGGCAGTCAGTTCTACTCTACCCTGTAGGGTCGCCATGAGTCAGAATCGACTCAATGACAATGGGTTTCGGGTAGTAGGATTAAAACCCCATACCTTGTCATTTAGACTCTTCCGATTCCCTGTGTTCCCCATGTTGTTACCGTGCTGTTATTCCTTAGTGAGAGTTCAATTTTGACTCTTACTTTTGAAATTGGATTCAAACATGCCTATTTCTCTGAAAAGGATGATACCAAGTAGAGTGTGTCTTCTTATCCCTCAACTCTGTCTTTCATCATAGCCACAGTGATGGTTAATTTTATGTATCAGTTTGGCTAGATTTTGGTGCACAGTTGTTTGTTCAAACACTATATGTTGCTGTGAAGGTATTCTGTAGATGTGAGTAACTTTAAGTAAAGGAGATTACCTTTAATAATGTGGGTGGGCCTCATCCAATCAGTTGAAAGCTTTAACAGCAAAAACTGAGGTATCCTGTAGAAGAAAGAATTCTGCCTCAAGGCTGTAATCAGGGCTCGTTTTGGTTCATTCCAGTTTGAACCCTTGCTGAGAATACGCATTTCTAACAATTTCCCAGGTATGCTAACACTGCTGTTTAGGGACCAATTCTGAGAACCACTAGTAGAGCAAACCCAAAAAAACCCAAACCCGCTGCTGTCAAGTCGATTCCGACTCATAGCGACCCTATAGGATGGAGTAGAACTACCCCCTAGAGTTTCCAAGGAGTGCCTGGTGGATTAGAACTGCCTACCTTTTGGTTAGCAGCCGTCACACTTAACCACTATGCCAACAGGGTTTCCACTAGTAGAGCAGTGGTTCTCAAAATTTATTAGATGTAAGAATCACTTGAGAATCTTGTTAAAATGTAGATTCCGATTCGGTATATCTGGAGTGGAAATGCAAATTCTCAGCAGGGGTTCGAACTGGAATGAACCAGTTTGAAGCCCTAACTGTAACATAGAAATCCTAGGTTTCCAGGCTGCTAGCCTGCCCTACAAATTTTAGACTGAAGACTGCAACATAAACTTTTTCCTGAGTTTCCAGCTTGCTGGCCTGCCCTATGAATTTCAACCTTGTCAGCACCCACAATCATATAAATCAATTCCTATATATATGTGTGTGTGTGTATATGTATATAGGTTTCTCTGGAGAACCCTGACTTAAAAATAGCCAC